ATATAATCCTCCTAAAAAACCAATATTAATAAAAATACCCAGAAGCCCGCCAATTGCTCTTCCATTTGTATCGCGGGTCCCTGAATGACGCATTAAAATTGGAAAGTTCGATTGAGGATAAAAATTGCAGCCATCATATTTTATTCAAAAATCTACGGCCGTGAAAATTGGACACTGCGTCTCATGTGAGAATTCACACTTCCGGAAATTTCTCATCCACTTTCAATTTCACAATACCTGGTGGTAAAATTGAATGAGAGGGCTTTGATGATTATGGGGGTGCAAAGTGCGCGAGCTATTGTTGAAAGTTTCTCACTCAGCGGACGGGAATGGTGAAAATATCCGTTGACCACAAACGTGACTAGAGGGAAACAAACTTTGTCGAAGAGATATTGTCAGAGACATACCCTGGGGCTTGCCAAGCATCCTGTCTCCTTACTCCCCCCCCCCCTAACTACACCACATTGCGAGAATTTTGTTATTCTCATGAGTCCGATTGGATTGATCATCATGCTTTCCCCCAGTGAATCCATCCAAGATGTCTCACTCCTCTCTCTGATCTAGTTTCTAATTCAATCTGAATTCACAATGAAATTGTAGTTCTGAGGCATCGAGTTGCCTAGCCCCAAATAAGAGGAATTATCAGGAGAGAATAAATGAGAAATAGTGAGAGTTCATGGTTATTCCAAGCAATTTCATCACTGAGAATTCACACTTTTAGGGAAAAAACCAATGGGATGTAAATTTCAGTTCAATTGGTCCAAGAGAAATGACAGAAAACGCGAACACGAGGATTAATGTATTCGTGAATTTTCAGTTATTTGAAAATGGGACATAATTTGGTTTTGAATATTCCTTTTTTGGTGGAAAATTCGAGTAAATCGTAGAATTCTCGTCTTCCTGCTGCTTAAGAACTTGAAATTCCGTTGAATTTTCAGTGAAATTTGAAATTTCACGATTCCCACCTTCAATTGACTTTAATTCACTACTAAAAAATTATCTGAAATTTCCAGTAAACTTCTTAGGCAATTCTATCAAGGAATTCCATCACTGAAAATTCAAATCGACGTTTCTTAATAAAACAAGGGTATTTCAATTTTTTTTTTACGAAAAATTCAATTGATTTTTTTGATCCAAGAAAATTGACAGAAAACGCGAACACAAGAATTAATGTATTCGTGAACTTGCAATTAATTAAAAATGGGGCATAATTTGGTTTTGAATATTCATTTTTTCATGGAAAATTCGAGTAAATCGTAGAATTCTCGTCTTCCTGCTGCTTAAAAACTTGAAATTCTGTTGAATTTTCAGTGAAATTTGAAATTTTATGATTCCCACCCTCAATTGACTTTAATGCCCTACTAAAAAATTATCTGAAATTTCCCGTTCACTTCTTAGAAAATTCTATCAAGGAATTCCATAATTGAAAATTCAAATCGACGTTTCTTAATAAAACATGGGTATTTCAATTTTATTTTCAACCCAAGATTATCTCAAATTTCACATGAAAAATCGCCTGAAATCTCACGTTTTCATTCTCCTGACAGCTGCATAAATAGTATGACTGCATCAAGAAGTACAAATAACATGAAGTGGTTCACGAAAACGCCATTTCGATATTTAAAAATTCGTCACGTCCCCCTCTATTCGAATAGTCTTTAATTTCAACCTTCATTCACGAAAAGCTTCCCTTCGGAGGCATCAAGTCCCCACTTCAATGCAAACAAAACCTAAACAACAAGTCGGACATTAAAAGAATAAGAGAAATCCTCAAGAGAGAATAGACAAAAAAACTACAGTATCATCAAAATTTCGGATATCATCAGGGGGATTGAGACCCTCCCTGCGAAAACTCCATTCCGCCTTTCATAAATTCCCCTCTCTTCTCATGGTTTTCAATTTCAATCGTCAAAAGTTTTAATTCCGAGGTATCGAGTTTCCCCCATCACCTCAGTGCAAACAAAACCTAAACAAAAAGTCGAACATCACAAGAATGAGAGAAACCCTCAAGAGAGGATAGACAAAAAAGCTGTATTGTATCACCGAAATTTCGGATATCACTGTTGGATGGGGACCCTTCCAAATCACCAGTGAGGAAAGTGAGATGGAACTTCCCCCCACCCCTGAGCTTTCTGTAAATCTCTCATCGAATTTCGTCCGATAAATCTAACCCGGTATCAAATCAAGCCAGCAGCTCAACCCCCTCCGTACTCCTCCCTCCAGCCCGCCATCTTCCCAGCATCCCACGAGATATGAATTGTACAGCGCCATACGATTCATCATACAGAGTTGCTCAACCCGAATTCGTCCTCCGTATTTATTGCCCTCTAGATTCATCGGTTTCGTGTATTCCGTTCGTTTATTTGTTTCGTTTCTATTCGTCGGGATACGACGGTTTCATTGAAGATCATTCTTTATTTGGAAATTTGTTTTATCGTTTGGGAATATAAGGACACGGAACTTTGGGAGTGATGCGCTGTTGAATAACGTTGAAACTGGATTCCAATTGGGAGAGAAAATAATGATAAAATAACGAATTTCACTGGAAATTTACTGAAATTCTCTTTTTTTGAGCAGCAGGAATATTAGAATTTCCGAACTTATTTAACTCTAGATTCAGTAGTGAAGTGATCAATCGGTTTATGTCGACTTAGCTCCCAGTTGAGTTTTTGTTGAATAACTCGGAATTTGAGGGTGCCAAGTGAATTTGAAAAAAGATTCAAAAAAATTTTTTTTTTCCCTCCATCATTGGAGAAGTATGTATTCATCCATCCGACGAAATTTCAAACCCGCAACCGGAACTAGACATCGAGAAAATAAATGCGGAAAATCCTCTATTTCGCGTGACGAACCTCGAGAAAGCATGGGATCAAATGGGTACGGAGGGTTGAAATATCTCTCTTATTCACCCCGGTACCCCATTGCTTTTTGTCGCCATCACATTGAACACATCATTCCCCATATCTTCAAATTTTTTCAAATTTTTCTTGAGTTCCTAGGGGGTTGAAACATTCAATTTCATCAAAACTCCATAAGAGGCTGTGTATAAGACTGATTTTGTTTATTTAATTTCTCGATATCCATAAGTTCTAAAATTTTAAAATTGTCACCGATGTCCACCATCTGTCTAATACTCCTTTTCGATAGTCGGCAACGCTAAAGCCTAAATAGCAGCGGGGAATCCCCGCGGAGATGACCAAGGTAGCAGGGTCGTGTTTGGTGACCAGACTAGGGTTAGATTATCGATGGAAACATAAAAGTTGAAATTTTGGGGATATATTTACTTCAATTTTGCTGATTTGTATTCATTTTTGGGGCTAATTAAACCGAAATTTACAGTTTTCGTGATTTTTATGATCAAATTGTGAATTTTTAACACGGAATTCCTGCAAATGTCAGGAGAACTGTCACTTGACACAATTTTGCAAGAAGTGTTCTATAAATTTCTGTCAAAAATTTTTAACTTAAATTTAATTTAATTTTAAATGGAAAAAAATTATGAAATTTCAAATTTAATTGAAAATTCAACGGAATTCCCCGAATTAAACTGAATATCACCTAGTTTGAAATTTCAGAATATGTTCACCTGCATTTTCCTGGTTTTTATTAACACTGATGGAATAATAGAACTGAATCTCCAGTTTCCATTGATTTTTGGTTCAAATTATAAATTTTCAAGTCACCAAAAAATTACAAGAAGTATAAAATTGTTAACAATGTACCTCAGAAAATACGGAAAATTCTACCTCAAATTTCAAAATGTCATTGTAAAAATGAATTTCACACTTTTTGACCCCTAATTCCAGTCCTATTGAAACAAAAAATGTCATCTTTTCCAAAATTTCGGGTCTAATATCTCCCCCTCCAGCGATCGCCACCAACTCTCCATGTCACCATCACCTCCCCCCAAAAAAGCTGTTCGCAACTTCAAAAAACTCATTCCTCTGTCCTCGATTCCCCCAACTCCAATCGAAAATGCAGCAATTCCCGGCAAAACTTCTCCCTGGAAGCGATCACATAAACGTCTTAACCGAGTTATGATAATATTTAATCCAGTTATACACCCCAACTGACACACAGACACACAAATCTACAGTTTGCCCTGAGTGTACGTTGGAATCGTTAGAATCCACCTCCCCCACGCATCGATGTTTCGATATGCACCCTGCGCCTGTGGTCACGTTAATCCAGTTAAACGTCAACTGCTGAGTACTCAGGCACAGGTGTCCGGTCGCGGCTTCACTCCCACATCACAGGCATTCCACCAGCTCATCCCAGTGCATGTACCCCACTCAATCACAACCATCAGCCCGCCATATCCCATCGCAAAATTAAATGACCTTGTTCATATTTCAAGGTTTCCACGTGAAGATGTGCTGTATTAATTCAACGTTGTGCCAGTGACAAGTGCAAGTGATGTAATAAATCGTGCCAATGGAGTAGATTATGATAAATGAGTGGAGAAGTTAGTTTTCATGACATCTAATAGTGTCAGAGTGGTGTCACGATGCTTGAGCGTATGGAAGGACAGGGGGAGATGTTGAAGAAGCGAGGGTAGTAGGCCGAGTGGTTGCTAGAAGTATTATTCCACGTCACGTACCATCCGTGTCTCTATCATCCATCGCATTCCTCCCCAGGTTTTATATATCCCCCCATCCCCTCCCCCCAAGCAGATAGGCATCATGAAACATTTGCATTTCGGGAAAGTGCAATGATGGGGCATTCTCTCGTCCGATGATGACTCTGCGTCATCGATGGTGAAGTGTCGATGCTTCGGTGGAGGCGCCATCCGCGGCCTTGAGGGACATTTGAATGGTAAATCACGGGACATTAGCGAGGACAAGTTGAAGTGCCTTTCGATCAACGGATTACCAGTGATAAATTGACGGGGTTTGGAGGGCTTTTTTAAGGGTAATTTTTGCTCGAGCCAGGGGTGGGGCTATGAGGCTGAATGGTGTGTTGAAACGGGCGTCAGGACCCTTTGATTGTAAAAGGGAGAAATGAAGTTATCAGTGTCGGCTTATAGAGCCCAGGCCAGTGCCCACAAGAAGATCCTCTGTAATTATCAGCATCAGCTGAGCTACGGTGCTACCACACAGGCAGCCCGGACCACCTCAGATCCCGCGGCCGTCCTCTCTGGCCTCAAGGTAAGATTGGTTGGAAAGTCATCTTTTTCTGGTTTATTCATTCTGCTAAGCTTCACTTGCTTTTTTGCCCTTTCAATGCTCTTTTCAATCTCGTATTGCAGTTGGATCGTTTTCGTCGTAGGGAGGGCGGGGCAAAATGGACACTTCGGAAATTTTTTTTTACGTTCATGACGCGGAAATGAATTCGCTGATTGAGAGGTCTGGACTCGTAGCGAGTGCAGAGGAAAAAGGTTCTGTTTTCACGGACGTGTCACTGATTTTTAGGAATCTGTTATTAGTTATTGGTGATGTTGGGGGCTGGGACACTGATAGAACGGTTTAGTCGAACCAAACGAGACTTTTTAAATATTACCACGATTCGTTAACTATTAACGAATCGCGGTAATAGTTAAGAAGCCTCGTTTGGTGCAACTGAATTGTTCCACCTTTTCTATCAGTGTAGAATGACTCCGATCATCACGGAATTTCGCTGACTGACTTTCATAATGGAGAATCCTTAATACATTGGTGGAAATTTTTTGAAATTTTATGGGAGATATTATAGTAAATCTCATGAGAGTGACATTGAATCGGATTTCGGGAAAAAATGGGTATGAAATTTCAAGTTTTAAGTAGCTCTAACGGAAATTATGAGTTTTCAGGGGGAGTGAGATGGAAATTTCACAACTTGATTGAATTTTGAGTGGAACATTAATATTCAGAAACAAAATGACATGAATTTTCTGAATTTTCACAGGATAATTCAACTGAAAAATCAAGTATTTTAGTAATTTCCAGATCATTTGAACAGAAACTCAATGGAATATTTAATTTTTCAATGACAAGATTTCCTGAAATATCAGTGGAACGTGAATACGATAAAATTTTTTCGGAATTTGCCACGGAAAATTCAGACGAAAATTTCTAACGGTGTAATTGAGGATGAATTCCTGAAAATTACTGACAGGTGACCCTGAAAATCAAAACTTTTTTTCTGCGGAGAGGAAGATTTGTACTTCACAAGGAAAAACAATTATGCCGGTTCAGCAACCGTCCAATGTATTATCAAAAAAAATGGAAAGTGTCCGTATTGCCCCACTCCTCCCTCTGTTTTTGTACTTTGCTGCATGACCTCTGATATTGACTCCCATTCATGAATTCTCAGATTTATAGCGAATATTTATGATACATTTTACGGGGAAACGGAAATTTCGGGAAATTCGGATGATTTACCTGGGAAAATGAGAAGTGGGTCTGAATACTCTAGCGTAGGTCTGAAATTTTTTAGAATAATTGGGAATTTCATACTTCGAGGCTATTATTTAGGCTGAACATTCAATTCTTTTCGAGAAACTATCGTATAATTTCCTAAACAATTTTATGTTAATAAAAAATATCCGACTATCTGAGACTCTGCTGGACAACATTTTATAATGATACAGGAAAATTTTATTCAAAATTGAAAACAGATGGGTTTCTTGCTCCAGTCTTTTGTGAACCATTTGTGTTCATGAATTTTGATATTTTCAATGAAAATTCGTTGTTCTCTGGGACAGGAAATTCTCTAGGAAAACAGAAGGTCTCCGGCATTGCAGTGAGACTCTGGTAATTTATCTGGAAAAATGAGAACTGGGTCTGGATATTCTAGCGTAGGTCTGAAATGTTTTAGAATAATTGGTAATTTCATACTTCGACGCTACAAATTAGACTTAAAATTACATTCTTTTCACGAAAGTGTCGTATCATACCTTGAGGAATTTTATGTTAAAAAAAATATTGGACTCTTTGAGACTCAGTTGGACAAAATTTTATAATGATATCGAAAAATTTTATTCGAAATTGAAAAAAAAATGGACTTTCTTGCCCCAGTTTTTTATGAGACATTGCTCTTCACGAATTTTCAGATTTTCACTTAAGATTCTTCCTCAACTCCCTAGGGAAGCAAAAAGTTGGAGATATAGTAGTCCGAAAACTAAGAAATGCCTCTGAGAATTCTCGTGTATATAGATCTACAATTTTCCAGTAGAGTGGAGAATTTTATCTGTCGCCACTGAATATTCAATTCTGTTCCCCGGCTACTCACAAAATTGTCCCATTACACACTCAGGAATTTAGTATTCATAAAAAAAAATTGAGCCGTTTCCTAATAACTTTCTGTAAAAACCCAAAAATTCAGAGCCTCAACGTTCTTTCAAACGTCACCCAGCAGTTAATTCATTCCGATCATGATCACATTTCTATACTTATCTGCATGAAGTGCATCTGGTATTGACTGGCAGAAAGCTCCAACCCAGAAATCTGTTATTGGCGTTGGCCATCAGTTATCAGCTGTATAAAAAAACTGGCTAAGGTTAAATTTACGCCTCGGTGCACGTGTTCTTATCGGTCTTGGTGGAACCTGGCGGAAGTCCTCGTTTCAGCCTCATCTCAGTTTATCACCAATCAAATATCCGGGGAGGGCCGGCGGTTCTCGTTAAAATTCATTCCGCCCACATGATTTTATTATTCCCCGTTCCCTTTGGGTTTTCTGACAGCAGTTTGTTTTATGCTCGAGTTTTATCGTTTACTCCTGGGTTGGGTCTGGGGGAAAGGGATGTTCTTTTGAAATGTTCTTTTGGACTGTTGTTGGTTGTATTATTGGTTCAGGGAGATGAAGACCTCTTTCTCGGGGAATTGGAAACTTTATGGTGGAGTTGATTGATCACTCGGGTCATACTCGTGTCAATCATCAGTGTACCATTGATGGATGTTCAATCAACTTGTCGGATACGTCAGGGGATATTGATCGACCGAAAATCTCATTGAGGCGCACTGAGGGCATGGATAAATATACGTTTTACCCCTTTTAATGATGGTATTGATTTCGAATGGAGACGTATGGCTTCTGAAACAGATTACTCGTTCTTCAGGGAGAATAGGGCTGTACAGAGAAAATAAGTTTCTAGTTTTTAGAATCGAGGTAATGAATTTAAGAACTTTGGGGTCTGGAAGGTATAATCCTGAGATCGAGAGACTCGGTAGTTCATTTCAGTGAGAGAAAACCCGGAAATTCAGTATTCAAAACTAAAAACATCGAAATGTCCAACGCACCTCGTAGAAAGGGTAAAATTTGTTGGCCGAAATTCCCAGTACACTTTTTTGAAATTTTCATCACATTTTCGTTTTACACTGTTGAATATTTTCGTTTGAGTTTGCCGCGTCAAATCCCCGAAATTTTTATCATTTTTTCATTTCCACTAAAATTTCAGGAAATATTGTCATTGAAAAATCAAATATTGCGTTGATTTTCTGTTCAAATGATCTGAAAAAAAATCAAATATTTGATTTTTCAGGTTAATTATTCCGTGAAAATTTGGAAAAATGCGGAAAATTCAGGCAAACATTGGAAATTTATGTCATTTTGTTTCTGAATATTCATGGTCGACTGAAAATTCAATCGAGTTGTGAAATTTTACCTTAACTGCACTAGAATTTTTCATAAACCTTCGATTATGATAGGTTCCAGTATTCGTCGTCGAATTTTTCTAAAAAAATTTCTCTCCGTGTAGAATCTAAATATCGCAGTCCGCAGCGTTGGAGGATACACCAAAAAAACGGTTTATTTGAATTAAATAAACTATATTTGAATCAAATAAATCGTTCATTTTATCCTAACAGAGAATTCATTCAATTCACATAAACCATTTCTCTCAAAATCGGTCGAAGGCCAGAGACGGGTTTGAAAGTGTGCCCGAGGTTAAACCAGAACGAAATATTCGGCTCAGAAATCTACTTTAAAAATTTGCAATTTCATTGAATTTTCATTGCAATCTGAAATTCAATGATTTTTTTCCCTCAAATCGAATTCAGTGTCACTCTCCTGAAAATTACTACTCAACTCTCCACGAAACTGCAATTTTTTTTTCTCATGATGTAGATTTCAGTATTACAGAATTCTAAAATCCAGAGAATTTTACTGAATACTGGAAATTCCTTTTCTCTGTGTGGAATGAATATATTCTACGTATGACTTTTTTCAAATTTCCAATGTCCATTGCAGTTTTCCTGCTATCATAACTCAAAGGCCATTACTGTCCGAAATGTAAGCCTTACCAAGGGTGAATTGTGTTCGGGTGGATTTCGTCGGACTAGGACTGAGTTGAGGAAATGCACAAGTTATCGTGTTCCTGGGGGCACGTTCTGTCACTGGGTCAACTCTATAGTCAGAGTTCATCCAGCGTCATCCATGCGATCCTTTGATGCTTTTTATTACACTCTCGCTATCCCTACTTCCCTTTATCTCCTGTTTTTTGAATCGTTAAGTATTTAAGAGCACTTACCAGAGTATCTTGCGACTTTTTTTGGAACATGCTCACGATATCAGTCGTTTTTATTATTAGGTTGTATGTTGAAATATTAAATCGAATTCAGTGTCACTCTCCTGAAAATTACTAGTCAACTCTCCATGAAATTTCAATTTGTTTTTCTAATAATGTAGATTATAGCATCACAGAATTCTAAAATCCTGAAATTGTCAATAATATGTAGAATTCTTCGACCGTGAATTTCAATTAAAGAAAAGGTTTTTTTCGGCCTTGCGGTCATGAATTAAAATCGTATAATTTATGACCGCAAGGCCAAAAAACCGTCCCTTTATCCTGAAATTTTCACAGAATACTAGAAAGTTATTTTCTCTGCGTGGAATGAATACATTCTACATATGACATTTTTCAAATTTCCAATGTCCATTGAAGTTTCACTGCTATCAGAACTCAGAGGCCATTGCTATCCGAAATGTAAGCTTTGCCAAGAGTGAATTGTGCTCGGTGGATTTCGTCGGACTTGGACTGAATTGAGGAAATGCACAAGTTCTCGTTTTCCTGGGGGCACGTTCTGTCACTGGGTCAACTCTATAGTCAGAGTCCAGCGTCGTCCATGCGATCGTTTGATACTTTTTATTACACTCTCGCTATATCTACTTCCCTTCATCTCCTGTTGTTTGAATCGTTAAGTATTTAAGAGCACTTACTAGAATATCTTGC